GCATAAATTCATCTATGTTTGACAGTTACTATGACAATCAGGTTATGTTTTAGTAACTACACTTTTGCCCTTTACTAGTTTTAGCCACAGAGGTCGTGCCTCGGTCAAGCCTTGTCTAGTTCTGCTTTGCTGCAAACTCTAATTAAGCCTTTCCTGAGCTTTGACCTTAAAACCTTCCAGGATCGACATAGGGTAGAGTCCAGGGCTTTGCCATGTCCTCTGGTCAGCTTAGACTTTGCCAGCAGCATGACGGTTCCCAACAGGTTTGAGTCCCTGTTCTCCTGCCCACTTGCTGTTTGAACTTGGACAAGTCCCTGCCCTCTCAGGGCCACAGTTTTGCCATCAGTCCCATGAAGGGATGGTGCTCGCTGTGCGGCCATATCTTCCAGGGAAGGGGATTAATTCTTGCTTGGGAAGAAGTCTGGGGCTGGGGGAGTGTCTCCAGTCCCCCTCAAACTCCTGCCTCTCTCCTGCAGAAGGACCTGAAGAGCTGGGTCCAGGGGAACCTCACTGTTTGTGGCCGCTCCCTCTTCCTCTTTGATGAGATGGACAAGCTGACCCCAGGCCTGATGGAGGTCCTACAGCCTTTCCTGGGCTCCTCCTGGGTTGTGTATGGGACCAACTATCGCAAAGCCATCTTCATCTTCATCAGGTGGGTGCCGCTGTGACGGGGATACTTAGAGGCCTCAGCTATCCAGTCTTGGTCTGTGGTCCCCCAGCAGAATACCGTCCCCCAGGGCCCCATCAAACTTTCCCAAAGCCCCTCACCCCCTGATGGTGTCATTCAGGTGGCTGGCTTCCCCTTTGACAGTCTCGAAGCCCATTCTGGGCTCAGGCTTTCTGGTCCTCATTTTGTGGAAGCCCTGCTGCTAGCTCAAGAGTTTTCCCTCTTTTGTGGCCAGGAGGACACAGGCCTGGGAGAAACAGACTGGGCTTCTAGTATCACCTCCAAGAGTCCTTGCTATGTTTCCTCAGGCAAATTACTTCACCTCTCTGAGCTCCCATCTCCTCTCTGATCAGCAGGGCCAAATGAATGCCCCACTGTCCTAGAAGCTGGGTGAGGGGAAGTCAGTTTATGGGACTTAAAAGTGTTTTGTAAACTGTAAGGTGCATGGCATTTACAGGTGAATCTCTAGGGGTCCTGGTTGTGGACTCGCTCTGGAAAGGGAAGTGGTTCCTGTGGAATGTGTTGGTGGGTTTGGCTCCTGCAGGCACTGAGCTGGGCCCCCAGGCTCCAGCTGTGTTAGGTGGCATGTGGGAAGCAGGGCCAAATCCACTGTCTGGGTCTCGGCCCGGGTCCCCCTGGTTTTAGCAACACCGGTGGTGAGCAGATCAACCAGGTGGCACTGGAGGCGTGGCGCAGCCGCCGGGACCGCGAGGAGATCTGCCTGCAGGAGCTCGAGCCAGTCATCGCCCAGGCTGTGCTGGACAACCCCCTCCGTGAGTGCTCAGGAGCCCCACCCTGGGATGGCTTCACACCCAGGTCCATCGGGCTGGGAGCTGATGCTCTGCCCACTGACCCAGGACCTCCCAGCCCCGGCTCTATGCTCCTGGCTGTCCCAGAACCTGCCTGAGCCCTTAGCCGGAAGGGGGCTGAGAACAGTGTACCTACACTGGCCTTTGGGGGTAGAAACCCAGCTCTGTGAAGCTCAGCTGCTTTTCCCTATCATCCCTTCCGGCAGACGGCTTCTGGCGCTCGGGCATCATGGAAGAGCATCTCCTGGATGCCCTGGTGCCCTTCCTACCGCTCCAGCGGCACCATGTGCGGCACTGCGTGCTCAACGAGCTGGCCCAGCTGGGCCTGGAGCCAAGGGACGAGGTTATCCAGGCGGTGCTGGACAGCACCACCTTCTTCCCTGAGGACGAGCAGCTCTTTTCCTCCAATGGCTGCAAGACTGTGGCTTCCCGAATCGCCTTCTTCCTCTGACTCTCTGGCATCCTGTCCTCCCCACCTGGCCAGGCCATGCAGGAAAGCCCTGGGCCTTTGCCAGAGGGACCCTTGTCCTGACTCCTGCAGAGTGGGACCTAGAGCACAAATGGAAGATGAGGAGAAGTGTTGGCTAGGCCATGAGACAGAGGGTCAGGTGGGCCTCTTGGCTGGTCTGAGGACATCTTGGCCTTTGCTTCCTGCCCCGGGGGAAAGTGCTGGTCACCCCAGAACCTCAATGAGTCTTGACCTCACCCTGCAGCCTGAGCCTTCTTAAATGTGAATTGTAACTCAGGGACTGTGGCTCCTGGCTGCTCCCTCCCTCCTCAGCCTTTTCCCCTTAGCCCCTTGCCCTGCTACCATATCCCACACCTTGTCCCAGTTTTGTAAGCCAGGCTGAGACTTCTCAGTCCCCAACGATGAAGGGACTCATGCTGCCACTTGGGCCTGGTTTTTAATGTTTTTAATTTTGTAAAAGAAGAGAACAAATACAATAAACTTAGCCATGGGACCAGAGTAATGTTGGCTGAGGTTTCTAATCGCTGAATGCCGATGTGGTAGGATATCTCCCATCTCCAGCAAGAAGTGAGGGGCTCAGTGGCCCTTTTGGAGAGCAGTGACACTGCCAAGGCTGGGGTTCTGGCTCTGGTCCTGGATGACATCAGTCTTGCTGGATTCTGGGCTTGGGCTCTGGTTCCAGTTCTCGAGCACCTTGGCCATAATGAGCCACTGGCCCTCGCCCTGGGCGTCCTCCGTGTTGCTGGGGCTCCAGCTTGGGTCATCATCATTCTTGGTCTTGCTGGAACTTCGCATCAGTCCCCGGGTCCGGCCCTGGGTGCCCTCAGCCTTGATGGGGCTCCGCCTGTGAACCGCCTTGGTCTTTCTGAGCCTCTGCCTTGGGCCCTGGGTGGCCTCGGTCTTGGAGGGCTTTGGCCTTGGGCCCTGGGTGGCCTCGGTCTTGGAGGGCTTTGGCCTTGGGCCCTGGGTGGCCTCGGTCTTGGAGGGCCTTTGCCTTGGGCCCTGGGCGGCCTTCGCCTTGCTTGGCTTCTGGCTCTGGCTCCTCGTGACCTCGGTCTTGCTGAACAGCTGGCTCTGGCCCCTGTCTGTGGGGCTGAGGTTCAGGCTTGAGTCTTCCCTGTCCTTTCCCAGGTCTGAGGATTGCGTCCTCAGCAGGGAGGAATCAGAGGTGAGGGGCACAGGGGTGGCCGAGGTGCTCCTGTATTCCTGACAGGTAGTGGACGTCTCCGTCTCGGAGACAGACAAGGTCCTGACTGGGAAGAGCATGCCAAGAGCACCCATCAGGCCACCTTCCTGGCAGTTCCAGGAAACGGGGGCTCCTAGACCTCCCCTTGCTTGTATCCCAGAGGCCTTGCATGGCCAAGGGCAAGGCCTGCCAGCCCAGCCCTCCTCAGCAGCCTGTGCTTTGAGGGTGGGCCAGGGCTGCAAGGTAAGGGGGAGATACTGGGGGTCCTCTTGCCTGTCTCCGGCTTCCATGGTGCTGGCTGCTCCTTGTCCTCTGCATTCCAGCCACAACCAACAGCCTGTAGTTCGCCCTGCCCCACCCTCCCCGACCCCTCCGTCAGGTCCTGGAAGTCCCACTGGTCCCCCAAAGGCGGCTGAGTGCACCCACAGCCCTCCAGTGCACATCTATGCTGGCCTGGTTATCCATCTAGCTGCGCACCTTCTTCCCTCAGGACCAAGAGCTCCCGGGCGGGGCTGCGCTATTCGTGCCTGTGACCAGTGTGTGGCAAAGCCCAGCCCTGGGACTCGACGGCTCGTTGAACTGCACTGAATGGAAGGCCAGGGCTGGCCGCCGCCATTTCTATCCCGACCCCGGACTACTCACAC